CCACCACCTCCTCCTCCCACACCATCTTAGATTTTATTCCTCCAACCCCAGCCCCAATAAATGCCCTACATGTAGCACATCACTTTGTCTCCATTAAAATTACCTCATCAAACTACCTATTCTGGAATACTCAACTTGTTCCCTTTCTCCGTGGTTAAAGCCTCAGTGGGTATGTTGATGTCACGTTATTGTGTTTAATTTGATTTCATTTATTCAGTCTTCGGATAGGGTGCTCCATTGTAGCCTTTCTTGCAGTCGAAACTTTGGTCCATCAGGATTCATCCATATTATCCATGTTTATCTCGCCTCTCTCCGATGAGGTCATGTACGTTATACTAGGGCATGCCACGTCATAGTCCCTATGGCAAGCTATTGAAGATACATTTGGGTCTTCCTCTCGAGCATGATCTCTAAGTCTCCTTACTCAGTTGTAATCTTTGTGCGAAAGAGATACCACTACGAGTGAGTATCTTAGCAAAGCCAAGGTTTTAATTGGACTTCTAGCTAAAGTCGGTTGACCAATAGGTTTGGGTGAGCAGAATCTCTATATGTTCAAAGGCATCTTCCCTGAGTACTGTACGTGCAATGGTATCTTTGTTGACCACCAAGAAACATATGACGATTGATCAACTCAACGACTATCTCACTGCACATCAATTTATCTATGCGGATGACGTTTCTTTAACTGCTCCCCTAGAACCACCATCCAGCACTTATCGCCAAGCGTGGGGCCACCCACTGCCAAACAACTGGAACGCATTCCTAATCAACCGTGTAGCTGTGGTTGTGGCAATGGAGGAAGTCGGGGTCGTGAATGTGGTCGTGGCTACGTTCCGAAGTGTTAAATATGCAACAACATTGGTCATACTACCCTACAATGCTATAAGAGATATTCAGGAGCCATTGGTTCCCAAGCAAATATGACTTATGCTGATGATCTAGCCCCCGCTCCATCTTATAAAAACTACCTCCCCGACAATGGTGCTACCCATCATGTCACTCTGGATTCCTCGACATTACATCATTTGGAAGAGTACACGGGCAATAACACTCTTTGTGTTGGTAATGGTATAAGTTTGAATATTTTCAGTATTGGAAACACTTTTATATTCTCTTCTTCACGTTCCCTTCAACTACAAAATGTGTTACATGCTCCTACTCTAACAAACTCTCTTCTATTTGTCAAACATTTTGTCACTGACAGCTAGCAATGTTTTCTTTGAGGTACATCCGTTTTTTTTTTTTTTTTTTAGAATCTCACCACCAACCAAGTTCTACTTAAAGGAGAAAGCTCGGGAGGAAGGGGGTTATACAAACTTCCAATCCAAAAAAATGTGGCATTCATCACTCAAAATCATGTTCATAAGTTTGACACAATCGTCTCGATCAACCCCACTCTAGGGCTTTACACAACATTTTACTTCATTATCCAGTGTCAAAATCCTCAAGTAATAGTAGTACGATATGTTCTGCCTATCAACTAGGAAAATACTCACGATTTCCTCTAGAAATAGTAAAAAAAATCCAGTTCTTCTATATCAGATTTAATTTAGTTTACACATATATTTGGGAACCATTCATGACTTTATCTAATGAAGGCCATTGTTATTTCGTTATATTTGTTGATGGTTATTCTCGATATACCTAGTTTTTTCTATGAAACTAAAAGTAGATATCTATGCCATTTTCCATCAGTTTAAAAGCACTAATTGAGTGCACCTTTTCCTCCAAAATAAAAGTCATTTAGTCTGATTTATGAGGTGAATAAAACAAGTTAATTAGACAAACTCTTCGTCAATCTTGGAATAAACCATTGTTAGTCATGTGCTTACACACATGAACAAAATGAGTGTGTTAAAAGACATCATATACACATTGTTGAAACAGTTGTGGCCTTACTTGTTTAAGCCTTTGTCCCTCCTATCCTAGGCTTATGCTTATGAAACTGTGGTTTCTCTGATTAATTGTATACCCTCTACAATCTTAAACAATTTGATTCCTAATGCCATCATCAACAAAACAACTCCCAACTACCCCTTTCTCTGTTTCTTTGGTTGTCTATGTTTTCCATACGTTTTCACTATTTACTATCTAGCTTTTTTTAATTCTATCTTTTCTTATTATTGTCATAATATATTCGTAAAAACGATTCGTTTGTTTTGATTGTTATCTCTATTTCACATTATTCATAAAATAAAATCTATATATAGAATTCGATGTGCTGTAGAAATCATCAAATTAGTTGAACTTCATCTTAGAATTTTAATTCTTATAATTCTAATGAAAAAGAAACTAAAACGGCCTGTCTGTCTATTTTCATCGTTCTACGTGCAATTGAAAGGTTTATGATCAAAACCCTACTCTTGCTTAATGAAATTGAAAGCTGTAATCCTTTTTCCTTGGATAAAAAGAATCTCCGTCCCTACAATAAACACACAATAGAGTTCCATTATGCTCCACTTGTCTTCCTTGGGTACCAACACTCATTTAGAGGATATCATTGCTTGAATCTAAATGTTGAAAAAATTCTTACCATTCGCCATGTCCGATTTGATGAGAATGTTTTCTCTTTTGCAGCTAAAACTCCCCCACATGTTTCTACTTCAACTCAGGATGCAATACCATGGGTTGTTGTCAACTTACCAAGCAGAACGGGATGCTAAGAAATTGACATGAGTGTGTTGCCTCTATTTCATGCTTGTGTCGCCATTCTAGAGAGAGATGCGATCACGACATGGACATAGTTGTGTCGCTAAAAGGACACTACAGCGAGAAACAATACAACCGTGTTGCCCTGTGTCATAGTCATGTAGCCAATCTAGAGAGAGACACGGCTACGACACGTCTTAGACATTGTCGTGTCGCCCAAATCAATGCCCCAACGACAAACAACACGGGCGTGTTGCTCATGTGTCACGATCGTATCACCATTCCAGAGAGGGACACGATCATGACAAGCCCAGGACACAACCATGTCGGTGAGAACCACCTCCTCCCTTTTGGTGGAGTTTACTCCCGAACAACCTCTAATTATTCCTTCCAAGCTCGAGCTACGTCGACCAACACCCCGTGCTCAACGTACACATCCTATGGTCATCTGCCACATGATTCGTGACTCCACAAGTAACAAAGCTCTAATTGCATATATAGATGACTTCGAACCCACATGCCACTCCCAAGCCGTAAAAGGTCTCGAATGGCAAACAACAATGGACGAAGAATTCAATGCATTTCTACATAACAATAGTTGGAAGCTAGTTCCACATAAACAAGATATGAACACCATTGGATGCAAATGGGTATTTCAAATCAAGAGAAAAGCTTATGGAAAAATTGAACGATATAAAGCCAGAGTTGTTGCTAAAGTATTCAATCAGGTTGAGGAGAGGAGATTATTTTGATACTTTAAATCCGGTGGTCAAACCAACTATAGTAAAACTTATCTCTTATTATAACAAAATATTGTCTATCAGAAAACTTGATGTTCACAATCCCTTCCTATCCCTTCCTCAATAGTTGTCTAAGTGAGAATGTTTATATGAAGCAACCACCAGGGTACATTAACAACTTTCCTACTCATGTTAGAAAACTACAAAAGCCTTTATATGGTTTGAAGCAAGCACCACTACATGGTTCAAACGCCTTCATGATTGCCTACTCTCAGTTGGTTTCAAGGCTTCGAAAACTGATGTTTTATTGTTTATCTATTCTACTACTAATGCTCAAATTTATTTACTTGTCTATATGTTAATTCCGATCCATACTAATAATGAGCAACAATGAAAGTCTCTTGGCTTCCATAACAAACAAACTAGCTAAAAATTCAAGATCTAAGATATGGGACCTCCAAGGTTCTTCCTAGGAATTGAGTCAATTCATAACATGGGGCGACGATCCTTTACCAACAAATGTACATACTTGAAATACTCAAAAGGTCTAGAATGGAACACTGGAAGTAAATCTCCACTCCAATTTCAGTCAACAACAAGCTAAGTGCAACAAACTCATCTCAACCATATGACATATCCCACACAATACCTCAGCTTAGTTGGAGCACTTTAATATCTAACCATCACTCATCCATATCTCTCATTTGTCGTAAACTAACTTTGTCAGTTTATGCAATCTTCAACCAATGACCACTAGGTGGCTTTAAAGCGCGCTCTAATGTATGTCAAAGATAATACTCTTAACTATGGGCTATGTTTTACAAAATCTGATTCAAATGACAACATTCATTTATTTTCACACTCTGATTGGACAGGATGTCATGATGATCTCAAGTCCACTAGTGGTTTTGTTGTTTTCAATGGTAAAAATCTAAATTCTTAGGGATGCCATAAACAAAATATAGTGGCTAGATCCTCAACAGAAGCAGAATACAAAGCAATAGTTGGTGTTTAGGAGGGGTAACAAGGTTAATTGCTTTAATTCGAGAACTTTGGTGTGACAACCTTGGTGCTACCTATTTGTGCGCAATGTGTTCCAGGCCCGAACCAAACATGTTGAAATCTATACTATCATTTTATTTGTGACAAAGCAAAATCAAAAGAACTACAAGTAAACTATATCTCTACAAAAGACCAATTGACAGTCATCTTTACCAAACCACTAACATGTTTTCTCTAGAGAACCTTATCTCTACAAAAATCTAATTGGCAGACATCTTTACCAAGCCATTAACATGTTCTCCGTAGAGAATCCTAAGTTTATGAGACGTATTGGACTCTGTATTCTACTTTTTACACTTTTATCATAGATGTAACAAGAATCAAACTCATAACCTTTTAAATACGAGAAACATGCTCTACCCACTTCATACTTCTTTCTAGTCTAGTGGAAATAAGTGCCGTTGGAAATAGGGATAAGTGTTAACAACAACTTAGGACCATCAACATTTTTTTTTTGATTTTTTTTTCTTTTTTTGCTGAAGAAAACATATCCATCAATTATAACTTTTGTCAGGACAACATCCCAATGCCCAATTATTTATATTGTACTATTGCCAGTCATTCCATTTTGGGGTTCCTCCAGCTATAGTATTTCCCATATATGCCTAAAGGCTAAAACCTTTCTCTCCCATTAAACAGTATGAACTGTCACTAAAGTACCTCTTCTACAGTGGGCATCGATCCTCTACGCGTACAATCAAACGTTGTACGTTCAGCTTAGAAAGATTGATTCTTGAATCCCCTTAGCTTTGACGACAATTTGAGGTTGTGTTGTGTTGGTGTGTACGCACGCATGATGAGTTCTGATCAAAGAAAAACAGCTAATGCCATCAGTGGCAAGACCGCTAGAGCCTGCGATAGCTGTTTGTCGAAGAGGGCTCGTTGGTTTTGCGTCGCCGACGATGCTTTTCTCTGCCAATCTTGTGACGTTTCCGTTCACTCTGCTAACCTGCTGGCCAGTCGTCACCAAAGGGTTCGTCTCGGAACATCCTCGTCTTCGACGGCGGCGGCATCGTTGTTGTCCTCACCCAAAATTGTTGACGACGACGACGATGATTCTCCCCCGGCTTGGCACCGCGGCTTCACCCGCAAGCCCAGAACTCCGCGGAACGCCAAACGTACGAAGAAGCAAAACTCCGGCGGCGTTGCGGTGGAGGAAAGCGTTAACCCCGTCCTCCCTTTTGTCCCCGAGATGGGGAGCGACGACGACTACAACAACAACAACGAGATCGACCTTTTTTGCCAAGTTCCGGTGTTGTTGGATGACGACCTTAACGCCCTTTTGAACGACGGCGGCGGAGACGACCACATGCGGGGTTTGGAGATTCCGGAGTTCCTTTCCTCGGACGTGGAGTTGGCGGAGTTCGCTGCCGACGTAGAGACGTTGTTAGGAGACGATGATGTTGGGGAAGACAAAGCGACGGCGGCGGTGAAGATTGAGATTAATGGGGGCGATTGTACGGAGGCGTTGAATTGGAGTTTTGGGGAAGAGCAGGAAGTTGAGCAGAAAGTGATGATGACGATGTTGAGTGGATTTGATGAGTCGTCGTCGTCCATGGAAAGTGGAAGCTGTAAAGAAGAAGTGGCGAAGAAGTCGAGGATGCTTTTAAGTCTTAACTACGAGGAAGTTATCAGTGCTTGGGCTAGCCAAGGTTGTCCCTGGACTGATGGAACTCGACCCCATTTCGACCCAAACCATTGCTGGCCAGATTTCATGGTGCGTACCTTACCTTAATCCATTCCAACATCTACTGTTGGAGAAATTTCTTCATCTATATATCTTGTTAGTATAGAGCACTACTTAATTCACTAATTCAGTAAACAATATTTAAAAAAAGAGAGTAAGGTAAGAAATTTAGTAGCAGGAGTAAGGTTAGACATTTAGTAACAGCCGTGCAGGGAATATGTCAAAAGTGGACAGATCTTCAAAGTTAGAAATTTAGTAACAGCAGTGTAGAGATTGTCTAAAGTAGGAGAGTATGGTTAGAAATTTACTAATAGCTCTGTAGGGAATATGTCAAAAATGGATAGATCTCGAAATTTAGTAGCAGCAGTGTAGAAAATATGTCCAAAGTGGCACTGATTAACTCTGTTTGCTGAGCCACCGAAACTTACATCTCCTCGCTTTGTCGGACAGGAGTGTAGAGCACTTAGGGTTAGGGATTTACATCCTCTCACATGCTTTATGGGGTCGGATGGTGAGAGACTCTTGATGTTGGGATTGAACCTTCTGGAAAAAAAGAAGATAGAGCGCTTTATTTTTGCTCTGTTAGGATCAAAAGCTATAACTAGTAACGATTGTCCAACTTTTTTTTTCTTATAGTTCGTCATCACATTTTTTAAAGACAAGGTGCTGATTTCATGACCTGACCTTCTCTTTACCACATTTTTTAAAGACAAGGTGCTGATTTCATGACCTGACCTTCTCTTTACCAGTCTCCGCTCAACATATAGATAGATGAATATATGTTTTTTAATAATAATCTATCTGCAGTTACGTTATATGTGTATTTGCATTTGCATTGTAGGGAGGAGATCATCATCATCATCATCCATACGGGTCTGCAATGATGATGAGACGAAGCGACGAAGGGAGAGAAGCACGGGTGAGTCGATACAGGGAGAAGAGGAGGACGAGGTTGTTCTCAAAGAAAATTCGGTACGAGGTGAGGAAATTGAATGCAGAGAAGAGGCCTCGTTTGAAAGGGCGGTTTGTGAAGAGGTCATCATTGTTTCAGCCACCGCCGCCCTTCCCCAACTACCTCCTCAATCGACATTTATGAATTGATGAAGGTCGAATTCAACAACTTTATGAGATATATATTAATTAATGTTACATATATGGAATCTGGGATATTGCCATATTGGATTACAATCCACACTAATTAAACCTAGGTTTTTTTCCCTATGACTAATCATTCAGTCATGGTGATGCAAGATATATATATTTATATATATGTGGGCATAACTTAGGGGAGTTTGGCTCATAACTTTTATTCTCTGATGTATCTTCGGATTCGTTTCCGATTACTTTGTTTTGACTATTTTTGTAATAGCAAAAGTTTATTGCCCGCTATGCCAAAAGGGGTGTTGTAAAATATTAGTAAAATTAACATTTGAAGTGATATTTTCTGGTGTAAATATATATAGGGTTTTTTTTTTTGGTTTCGATAAGTTCAAAGTAAATTTGGATTTTCCTAAGTGAAACAAAGGAAATGATATATTGTGCACTTAAAATGGATACTGAGTGAATGAAAGTTGGTTCTCAAAGTGTACTTATGAAGTTGGAAATTAGAGTTTGGGGAGACTTGTAAGAAATCATCGTTCCACATTGAAAAAATGATATGAGTTTGCTATATATACAATTCTTTATTTTTGAAAAAATTATATAACATAAAGACGTCAGGCACCTTGTGCTCAGATGACACATCTGTGGCTCTCCTTGAGAGAAGGTCACAGAATCAAATTCCGGTGGTGGGGTCTTGACTCTTTGGGGATAGAGAAAGTCAATCGTTATACTGTGCATCAAGGCGCACATTGCGTACCGCGCCTCCCAAAACGACGTCGTTTTGTTAATTTCAGGTATAAAATTCTGTGAATTCTATTATATAATTTTGTACATTCGAAATATGGAAATTTTCAGTTTTAAAATTCTGTGTTTCCAGGTATAAAATTATGTGTTTTCAGGTATAAAATTCTGTGTATTCTATTATATAATTCTGTACATTCAAAACATTGATTTTTTTTTTAAAGAGTTAAGAGTTTATGTGTATTATGTTAAGAGTTTATGTATATTATGCATTATGTTAGATTATGTGTATTATCCTTTAAAAAAATATTATGTGTATTCAGTTATAAAATTCTATGTTTTCAGGTATAAAATTCTGTGTATTCTATTATACAATTCTATACATTCGAAATATAATTTTTTTTTAAAGAGTTAACAGCAGACACGCGAAAAGGTACAAAACGACGTCATTTTGGACCAGGGCGCACAATGCATTATGTGCACAGTATAATTTGTCAGAAAACGTATATAACAGATACTACCTTATAATAGAGACAATGGTATTCAAGACTATCTCTCACGTAATTATTCCCAATGGCTGGACTGCTCTCCTTATATCCTACTTTTGGACTTTGGAATTAGGAAAAAATGTGTATTATATATTTATTTGAATTTATTTAATTTAATATTTATTTTAATTTTGGTTCCTATAGATTTCATTACTGTCAACCTAAACAAAGAAACTAATTACTTTTACTAAAAATCATTTCAAATATTACTCCGTATTAATTAAATATTTTATTTTAGTTCTAATGTTCGAAGGAAACCACCCCTAATTTAATTGCATTTGTACTTACCAACTCAATTATTGTTACATTTTTTTCTTCTAAATTTTCTAATTTCATTTAATTCAATTTGAGTTTAAAAAAAAATCAATCTTTACGCACAATTAGTATGATTGAGGAAAACACAACTCTTAGTACATACAATGTAAGCAGTATGCTCAAATTCTATCGAAAACAATTAGAAAAATGCCCCCATTGCACTTGTTTTACTTGTTTGTTGGTTCAATTACACACTTTGTAAGTTCAGTGATCCAATTACACAAAGCAAGAAGTTCAATGACCTATTTAATATTTTTCCTTTAAAATATAACCTCATTCACAAGTTCAACTTACAATAGGAGCAGTCTATTAGCATTTTTGGTTTGAATCGGTTAGCTATGGACAATCTCGACTGATTTACCTCATTGTGATCCTTTGCTGGTTGGGGTCGTCACAAGGACGGGGGGAGGGGACGGGCGAATAGGTTTATCATTGAGAAAGACTTCATCTTGGTTAATCAATTATTGACTCTTTCTCTTGTTCTCAGTTTGATTGCATTTCCTTGTCCAAATTCAAGTTCCTATTCCCCATACTTTTATCTTTATTGTTATATCAATTTTTTGTTAGTTTTTTATGGGTAATGAACCAAATGGACTGGGGCCCAAGAAGAAAAACCGAGCAAGAGGGCCTGGCCCAGCTGATTGGACCAAAAGGATGAGGTATATTAACGGATAGAGGCCTGACCACTGAAGTGGGCTGGCCAATTCAAGCCTAGGACTCGGTTTGATGATGGCCGAGTCCCAGGCAGTCGGTCCCCCCGAGGAGTTAGCTTTCAACAATACTGTTGGGCCATAAATGCGGAGGATGACCGTTCCATCAAGGAAGCGTAACGACCGAGCAACGACTCTTACCCATAATTATTATTCATTCTAAGCCTTAATCAGGCCATTTAAGCCTTTCCCTTTTGAAACTCCCACTTTCCCTTGTATAAATAGGCGAGGAGAAAGCCGAGAAAGAGCGAACATTCTATATACTGAAAGTCGGACACAATACTAGCAAAAATACATATCAAACTTCTTGTTTATTTTCCATTTTTGCCTATTTACTTTTCCGGTGAATCCACCAAATCTTTGGTTGTGTTGGATGTCGTGGGCTGCCAAAAGTCCTAAAACCAACATTTTTCAGTATTGCATTATCCAAATCTTTGGTTGGGGTTAGATTTCTAATTGAAGAGTTATTACTACCTTGTACTTAAGAGCAAGGGCCATTCCAATGAAAATGGAGGTCCTGTGCGACATCATAATTTGTGCCCTTTTTAAGTATTTTATATATATATAAATAATAGTTGTTCAATTTTATAAATACGTTGTAATACCCCAAAGGAATCTCTTGCTTTGCCACAACTATTTGCAATATGACACAAAGTTAAGTTAAGATTGTGACTACACTAGGAGTATAAAATGCTCTACGATTTACATCCAAGAGTTTTTTTTTTGGTACACATTGGACCACTCCTCCAGATCCTGATTAATCTACCTAATGAAGAACTTCAGTTTTCAAAATTCAGAACTTGTATATAGTATACTACCGACCGGCGACCTCCACTCAGGCCACTTCTAGAAAATCAAAGAATCTAAGCCCCCACAACCGGGGTTCAAACCTATGAACATCCATTTGAAATGGTAATCGAGTTGACAATCCTCATATAATCTATGTATATAAGTATATAATTTTTATTTTTATTTTACAATTTTGTCCCCAAATTTGGGGCCTAATTGTAAAAAATTTATTTCTAAATGCATGTTAGCTAATAGTTGTTATCTAATTGGGTAATTAGAGGGTATGACTAGTTGATAACATTAGCTGATTGTAGAAGATGTTTGGTAAATTAGCTGTTAGCTGATAACTGTTTGGTATAATTTATTTTCTCAAAAAATTAATTGAAAAAATTGCTTTGAGCAGCTTTTTGGAGTTACAAAAAGCTGATTAACAAAACACTTATATTAATTTTTTTTTTTAACCAAGTCAAACATATAATAATAGTCAAATAAACTAAAATTGACAGATAAGCTAACTATTTTACCAAACAGAACATATATATATATATATATATATATATATATATATATATATAGGGTCCGGATCAGGTGAGGACCTAATCTTATGTGAGGACGTGAGGACTAATCTAGACCATTAAATCAGAATGATGTATGATTGAGATTAAAAGAAACAAATCACACGGATTAAGAAAACAAATCCCTTTAAAATATTAAAATATATAAATTTAGGGTAAATCAGTCTTATTAAAAGATGTGCATTCTTATACGAAATGTTGTGCATTCCTATACTGAGTGTTGTGCATTCCTATACTGAGTGTTGTGCATCAATAACTTCATTGTTGTCCATTCAAATCCCGCCAAAAAATCATACAGTGAACATCCAATGTTCTACGATGCATTGAACTATGTGCTATAATGCACAACTCCCTAGCCTATAGTGCACAACTTACAACACTAGTTTGCACAATCAGCACACACGAATGCACAATCGTACTACCCAGGCATTTATACATATACACGACAATCCAAATATAGACAATATTATACTCAAAAGAACAAGCGAAAAAAAATAAAAAATACTGATTAGTTTGCATGGGCGAACACTCAATCAATGATGAAGAAATCGCGGCTCCAAATTGCAATGGTGATGATCCAAGAAAATAGGAAACCAATTTGGCCCAGGATTATACATGCGTTCACACTTAACAAAATAGAAAAAGACACTATTATCCCACTTTAACAAAAAAGATCAATCCATGTCATCTCAAGAACTCAAATCTGGACCATCCAAATAAAAAAACAAACGCACAAGATTAGTCCTCACGTCCTCACCTAAGATTAGGTACTCACCTGATCCGGATTCTATATATATATATATATATATATATATATATATATATATATATATATATATATATATATATATTTTATAATTGTGCCCCAAATTTGAGGGCAAATTGTTAAACTTTTTTCTTTATATATATATATATATATATATATATATATATATATATATATATATATATATATACACACACACTATACAGCAGACAGCACGCCTGCTCTATAGTATATGTATATATATGTTCTCTAATTGGGGGATTTGGGGCCCCCCAAATTTGGGGGTCCTGTGCAAGCACCCTGGGCAATCATGCCCAAGGACGACCCTGCGAGTTAAGAGACAAAAAACTTAACTCTTATCGGCAATTCTTAAAAGAACGATATTTAGTGTAAGAATACACTTTCACACAACACTCACTCAAAATACTCTTCTATTAACAATCCTCGCAAATAGCTCTTCTAATCATCTCTGACGGCTCCTTGAACTCCTTCCAAAAAAAAAATAGCCCTTTGTCAATCGTTTTGTAGCCACTTCTTGCAGACCTCAATAATATTGCCCAAAGGCTCCTTGACCAAATTCCTCCCCTTAATTCATCTCGTCAAGTCTTCCGAGTCAGACTGAACCACAAAGACAAATTCTTGTGTGGACCATGGTCGACACTATGTTTTGTGGACCATAACAAAAGTACATTTTTAATATATTAAATATAAATTATTTTTGTACTGAATGTACATTATACAATATAATGTACACTCAGAACAAAAATAATGTACATTACCTGAATACAATGTACATTATTTTACAGTAGACAAAACATGGTCCACACAATAATGATTGACCCACAACTCCGGCAAATTATATTGTGCACTGCGGTGCATAATCGATTATGCACCCCGCATCAAAACGACGTCGTTTTGTTAAATGAAAAGAAACGAC